GGTGCAAAGCACATACCATACCTACGGACACTGATTGCCAACTGATTAAGTGCGGATTGCATGCCTTGGGCATTATCGCATAGTAAGACAATATCGTCCGCATACTCAAGGTCGAGGAGTCTTTCTCCAGGCAACAGATCTACAACACCATTACTTTCATTCATCAGAGCTGTTTCCAGAATGTCATCGATGGCAAAGTTGAAGAGGAATGGTGAGATTGGGCAATCCTGCCTAACCCCACTACTCGAATGGAACAATGGAGAAAGGTGGTTGTATGCCCTCACTCTGCCTGAGGTGTTTTTATATAGGGCTTTTAGGATGGTAATAAACTTCTCAGGCACACCCTTCTTCAATAGACAATCCAAGAGAACAGTCCTGTCCAACGAATCGAAGGCAGCCCTGATGTCAAGAAACACTACGATTGTTGGCCTTTGATAAGTATGGCGATGTTCTAACATTTGGCGGAGGGTGAAGATATGATCAATACATCCTCGACCAGAACGAAAAATTCTGCCCATCGTCCAAGACGTCGATGGATGTTAGTGATTGGCATCCCATCATTCTAGCAGATTGTTTCACTCACATCAGACTTCTTGCTGCCAGTGGCTCGGATGAGCTTCCGGAAGAGCTTCCGGTAGTTACCAGATGCAGCTGCTACATCCAGCTCATTAGCACGCTTCGACCACCAGGCTTCTCGGTCCTTACGCAAGCTTTGCCCAATTTCCTTACGTAACATCCTTCGTCTATGGTCAAACTCACGGTCACCCGCAGTAGACCGACGGGCTTCAATGAGTTGTAAGGAACCTGAAGAAACCCAGTGCTCAAAAGCGGGACGTTTCGCAAACCCACAACTGACTGTTCCCGCCATTTTCATGGCGTCATGCAACAGAAGTTGCAACCAGCTTGCTAATATCAATCCTTTGCTGGCGGTCACTTCGTTGTCCACTGAAAAGTAAGGCAAGATTGGCGCAGACCAAGGCATGGTCAGAGTCCAGATAGGTACTCCAAAAGGAGCGGCAGTCTTGTACACAACCACGCCAGCGGTAGCTGATCGCGATGTGATCAATCTGAGTCCATGCTTGAGATGCAGAGGGAGAACGCCAGGTGGCACATCGGCGATGACTGTGCCGAAAGTTAGTGCTAGCCAGAAACAGGTTGTGGTCTGTGCACAGTTGCAGTAGACGGTCCCCGTTATCTGACCTGCGACCAACGAGTCCCCATAGGCCACCTAAACGACTCTCTTATGTGCCTAGACGCCCGACCTGAGCATTCAAGTCTCCGGCTAGTACTACAATATCTGTCGAACGCACTTTCTGGAGAAGAACTGATAACTGGTGGTAAAACTCATCCTTGATTGCATCCGGGCTGCAATCTGTCGGGGCATAGGCGGAGATGACGAAAAGACATCGTTTCTCACGCCGATTTCTTCTCACTTTGATGAAACTCTCTAATCTACCAGCACATAACCGACTGTTAATGGGGATCCAATCGATTAGTGCTGCCTCAGCTCTAGCGCTTAGTGCGACACCAACGCCTGCAAGACCAGATGAAGACGCCACAGGGTCCCCGGATAAGCGAACGTAAAACAAGCTTTTTGAAGTGACAGATGCAGAGCGAATTTGTAGTACTTCGCTAGAGTCTTGAATACGGGTCTCGGATAGACAGCAGACATCGATATGAAGACCTTTCAAAGACATAGCCAGCCCTATCTGTTGACCAACCTGCATAAGTGTGCGAACGTTGAAGACAGCCAGTTTGAATGGTGCACGTGGTTTCAGAAAAACTGCTTCAGTACTCATATTCGATGGTAACATACGATTTTCAACCGGACAGTGACTCGAGAACGTTTAGATATAGTCGAATTTCCACCAAAGACGAGCCGCTGTATAAGTATAAAAGAGAGTGAATAATGTGGAAAATAATAATAATAATAATAATAATAATAATAATAATGGCAGTAATAGTAATAATAATAGTATTAATAATGACAATAATAGTAATGATAATTATTTGAGTCGATTGATTGTTTTTCGGAGCGAGAAAAGCAGTTGCTATAGACATAGAGTTCATCGTTTGTGTATGGGCTGTGATACTGCCCGGGTGCCCAAACCGAAGCAGGTGGTTATCTTAGGGGTCACTCCCCGAGCCTTTGACCTAAAGATCTAACCCACAAGGCAGTGGAGCATCGTAAGGAGATGCAATCCCATGGTAGCCGGTGACCAAAGATTGTTTCATACGCCATTTGTTCCTGCAGGATACTGAAGCCCATGTGCACCATTGGTTTGTGATCTGGTTAAGGCGCCGGACATTCGCTTTTCGTCCTCTCATTTTCGTAAACAACACCCCCGCCACGAGAAGGCAGTGAGTAGATCTTCCCTGGCAGAGGCTGTATACGCGCGGCCGTGTGAGAGTATTTCGAGAGGGAGAGCGGACTCACCCCACTCTCGGCCGTACCAGGGCATTCGGGGGCATAACTCATTATGATTCGATAGATATTTGATAAACTTTGAGCTAGCCAATTATAACCATGAATTCGTGTATTAAATTATACTGACAAAACAGCCATGTCTTACTAAGAATTCATACAAAGAAAAAACAGCTCTACTGTGAACTATGGTTTTCAATGGTATCCTGACTGAGATTAGTATGTAACGAATACAGCCTATAAATTTAGTTAGTCCCCATAAGCCTTCACAACCAACATCAGTAAAATGTTGAGCATATGTTTTAATCAAGTAACTCTAAATATAACACAATAATTAGACAATCAGAAATAGGTATGTTTGGGAGTTTAAGTCACATAACGTTAATGAACCATGTAGAAACTTAAGTTTCTGTGTGACTTCAAATACTCCTAATACATTTGTACAATGATATAATAAAAACTGATGTCACAGGTTAAAATTGATATGATATAAGTTGTATTTGTTTGTAAATTTGTAAATGTATTATTTGTAACCTTGAAAAACTAAACAATAGCTTACAGTACAGTTTACCAATATTTCATATACTTAAAAAACTTTGAATAATCTATAAGACTTCCGGTTAATTGTTTATCTTTCTTTCTGAATTAATATAAACTTAATTAAAGAGGGTAACTGTTATGTTAAGGATGCTATCGATTAATTTTAATCTCGTGATCAACTAAATAATCGACTACTGAATGACTTAAGGTTTCATTTATCGATTGTCCAAAAATAGTCACGTTAGCTCATGATAGAAAGATATGTGAAAATGAATAATCATTTATCTTCTATTGTTTGATATCACTATAATATTATAAATGTATTAATAAGACTAAAAACGATTGACTAATTTGTAGTGCTTATATTTTTCGAGTAGTTTGTAATTACTTAACATTATCATTGAAATTCATATTGTAAATCGATTAAATAGAACTGATTGGATTATTGTTTAAACAGAATACACTGAAAATTAATGATAGATTTAGTTAAATTCACAATCCAATTGCTGTTTACATTTGAATGACAGGTTGTTAACATTTTTTAACAGACAATAATAACTGGATAAGACATTTTTTAGTAACAAATTGTTAGTTACTAAAATACTGAATTTCAACTACCGCCCAGCTATAGAGTCTATTCAAAAACATTCACCATACTGATATGTTCCAACATTATTAAATATGTAGCAACATAGATTAGAGTACAAAACTGTTAGCCTATGATGCTACCTGTAAAAATAAAATTCAGTGTCAACAGTATATGGGAGATTTAGTCACACAATGTTAATGAACCATGTAGAAACTTAAGTTTCTACGTGTCTTCAAATACTTGATGATGAGGGTGCAAAATATATTGCTTGAATATTCCTAGCAAATTTCATTAGTCTTTCAAAATGCTTAAATTATAAACTGCAATTTTTTTCTAGATTGTTTTCTTAAAATTAGTGTTTTACCAACTATTTCCGCTCTTTTTTTAACAAACAAAAATACTCTATCAAAATTGCATTCGTTTAAGTTCAATTATCACTATGTAAATTTAATAGTATATTCAACCAAGTAATCATTAAGTGGATTTGGAGACAATATCATTTATGTTGATTCAAAACAAAACAAAACACAAAAACCATTTAAGAAACATTGGTGTAAAAAGCCTTTGTTCCAGGTCGTTTAGACTATGAACTTATTTAAAATAATATAGTCTTTTAAATGTAAAAGGATAAAACTACTAATCATGATGTCTATATAAAATCTATATAAACTTATAAATGTTGAAACCGACAAACAAATCATAAAACTAATAGGTGAATAGTTAGATAGCCGGTTCAAACAAAAGATCCGGTTTATGGAATATTCATTTATAAAGTTTACCATTGACTACTTGGTCATTAGTGAATTTCAAGTAAGAAATCCTTTCATCATTCCATTTTTTGTTTGTTTGAAATATTCATCAGTTAAACGCTCGTTGATTTAAGAATTACTTAAACATTGTATTATATTAAAAGTTTCTTTTATCTTTGAATTTATTATGAATTCTTCTACATTTGGAGAGAGTGAATAATGATACCTATGACATTGTGATGTTTATTTTCTTTAATAGAAATGATTCAAAGATTTTGTACCATTGAGATAGTTTTACTAGAGATTCAATAATGCTTTTCATATTTGTAAATATTAGTTTCATATTAATGTATGATGAAGTTAGTCAACTTTAACAATTAGTATACTAGCAACTAGCATTTTATGTTTTTGATGTTATATACAATATCATAATTAGCAAATCATTTGATGTACTTGACCTCAAATACTTTTATATAAATTTCAATTCATTACAATCATACATTGCAAAAACAGAAAAAAAGATAAAAGAAAAAAAGAAAAGAAAAGCAATACACGTTACTCATTGTTTTCTTTTCAATTTACTTTTTTTTATATACAGACTATATACAATACAATCAATTGAATGAATTGATCCATCCAAACTATGAATATCTTCATTATTATTATTAATCAATTATCAAATCCAATTCATCAAATCAAAAATATTAAGTTCATTATTCAATATTATTTTTCTAAAAATATTTTTCACTTATTTATCATGATATTCCTTTTTAATATGATCATAGTAACTATCATCTTTTTACATTATATTAAAGAATTTCCAATCATATATCAAGTCAATGAAAAATTTTTAAATATATCTAATCATACTACTTTAATTGATAAATTCAATCATAAAAATTCTAAAAATTATTATGATTATTTTAAAACATTCAATAGAAATTCTATTGAAACTATATTAGCACCATTAAATCATTGTGATATAAAAATGAATAATAATAATAATAATTTAACACATATTATTATATTTATTGGCTGCAATTAAACACAACTCAATTTCGTAAATGTGCGTTTCAGCTTAGCAACCAATCAGAATGAGGCGGGAATTATTACATCCGCCATCTTCGTAAGCAATGGCGGTCGGCTTTCTTCGTTCTGTGCTTCTTTCAGCTATTTCTTTTGTGTAGCTGTGTAATTTAATGTCTCAGTGTGCTAAAATGCCGCAGTTAGTGTAATGTTCTATATGTTGGTGTGATGTTTATTTCGAATCAGCGATGTTTTCTGGGTTTTTGCTGCTTCTACTCAAGTCAATGTATTTCTTCAGGCAATCTGACTAGTATTGTGTTATAAAATGTCGGCTGGCTTTCTTCGTTCTGTGTTTTGTCCGCTTTTTCTTTTGTGTAGCTACAGAATTTAATGTTTCAGTGTGCTAAAATCCAAAAGTTAGTGTAATACTCTAAACGTTGGAGCAAAATTTTTCCTGATTTCGCTTTGTTTTCTGGGTTTTACCAGCTGCTACTGAAGTCACTGTATTTATTCAGCTAGGCTGGCTAGTACTTACATAAGACCTTACGTTTTTAAACGACAATCGGTTATGTTTTACCTTGTTTTCTAGATATCCAAAGCCGAAGTTCGTTTTCATTTAGCTATAATAATTGTTGCTGCCGCCTGTGACTCTAACTGTTCGCATGTTCGTTCCTAACTGTCCTTTATGATGTTATCGGTAAAACGAAAGGAAACAATCTGCTTTTTTTTAATTTTTTTTCAGTATTATGGACAACACTATCCCACCAACGAGTCAAACTAATACAGAGTGCCAAGGAGTAGGGTATATCGGTATTGATTTCGAAAGAACCCAGACTTCCGACAACTATAGATGAAGTTACAGATGCTAGCAATCTATTGCAGAGGGTTTGTTATGAAAAATATGCCATATAGCAGTAATAGAGGGGTTGTACTCATTATGCAGTGCGTTAAAGCAAGCTTAACATTGAAAAGCCGGAAATCTGCTACTAGTGTGTAGTGTATGTTTGCTGTTTTGGCCATAAAAGGAAGCCGAAAGGTCATGATCAGGGAGTAAAAATGTAATTAACTGTTAATTAAGCTCATTTTTTTATAGATCATATTTCACCACTCGCAAATATGCGTTTTCTTACGGTATGATGTCAACTGGTACCTAATATGTTCACCCTTACGATGAAAAGTGCCTGCAAATTTTCACCTTCATATTCGAATTATTTTTGGACAACTGTCTTACAGTCTGAGTGCTTCGTACGCCCTGGGAGACTAGATTCCTGCATTATTCGCAGTTCCAGTATAACATTCTCACGCAGTAAGTTCAAATTAGACACTAGTCTTTCTAAATAAGCCTTTTAAGCTAATATCCGTATTCTCTATTTCAGTTAATGGATGATGACATGTACCACGTGCATCTGCTGTATACTGCCATTCTACTCCAATTCTAACTGTTATATCTTACTTTTGAAAAATAAAATTGCTATATGCAGCAAATACAGGCTTATTTGTTTTGTTGAAGGTAAAAGGGTTCATGGGATTTTCAGCAGGACCGTATTAATATTCTCACTAAAGAGCTAAGCGAGTGCGTAAACCAGTGTAAGGTACCATACGGGGTGTATTTTAGTTACTAGTGTTCCTTAAGTGCGGGTAGGAGCATTGCTTGCTTGTCATTTGAATTAGAAGCTATAAGATAAGACTCAGGTACGGTGAGAATGCGTAACGCGTGTCCATCCATCAGCTGCCGTGACAACCCATGGTGGTTAGAATAAGTTATGAGAAGACCCGAGTATGTAAGTTTCGCAAGAAAATGACGAAGATATGCACCAAATCACCTTATGAAAAGCGCCTCCAATCACTTAACCTCTACTCATTAGAGTATAAACGTCTTAGAGGTGACCTAATGGCTTACAATAACCTTAACACTTTTGGACATCCCCTAAAACACCTACATAAGCTTAATCCCAGAAACTAGCGACAAAACATAGCAGGACGGACTGTAGACGCAACTTCTACTCCTTAGGAGTTGTCAAATGCTGGAATCCGCTGCCCGTCGAGCTAGTCCAAGCGACTTCCCAGGAGTCCTTTAAGAGGCAAGTGGATCTATTCTTAAGGATAGTATCATACTATGATTTACCAATTTCTCTTTCCTCTTTTATTGTTAACATACCTCGGTTCCTTCCTGGAGGTTTTGGTGACCCCCTGCTACTAGACACGGAAACCTGTTAAGCGAAAGCTTCTATTCAGTTCACAACCATTTGAACACATGAACTAGGTGCTGAGATGCTCGCTTATCACAAGATTCTTGCAACGATTAAGTAGATAAAACAAAGTAGCATTAGATTCAAAAATTTATTCAAGAACTTTCATTAAGAATCGAATATAAAACAAAGGTTTAAATCAAGTTCCCGTTTAAAAGTTGCATTGGTAATGTTAAGCTGCAGTTTTTGTGGTTTTTTTTCAAACGATAGAGTAAAAGAAGTCAGAAAATACTGGAAGTGGTTGTGAGACTAAAATGGAAGTCCAGCATCCTTTTTATAATCTGCTATTCGTTGGGTCTCCCGTAATCAGTTCCATAGGGCCATAGTTCCAAGGGCGAAACAGTTTTTAGGGTCTGTGAAGGCTCACTCCCGTTGGATTCTAAATGAAAAAATAGTGATGAATTTAGTCAGAAATGTGGAATAGATAAATAACCAAATTACATGTTTTTTAGCAAAGAATTTATGCAGTTGTGATTTACCTTGAGTTCATGAATATTAGATAAGGTCAGGTACTATTACTTGCACAAAGCATAACTTAGGCTTAGTACCGTATTGCAATGTTTTTATCATTTTGCTCCCATTTAAGTATTCCCATGCATCTGTGTCTAGTTTAACAGGAAAACATACAAACAGAGTAAGTGCCTGATAAACTAAAAGTCCCAGTTGTCAAAAAGATTCTTAACATTTGTCCACAGCCAGCTGCATTTAAATGAGACACAGAACACTCATCTTCTAAGACTGTATACTGCTCTTTTACGGGCAATCTTGCTACCGATGTTATTGCTGGGGAAATTGTTTAATGACAGTGATCATGAAATATGGTCAGTGATAGATGTACAGTTTAGAAACAAACATCAAACATACTTATCGCTATCTTATAATGTATGACAGTAGCAGTATCAAAGTCACGTTTTTTCCTATTTTTAATCAGACTGATCTGAATCCGTATACACATTAGAAACAGGTAACTCTATTTACTAAACTGATCTGTTTCGTTACAGGCTTCAAGCACTATACTAAAGTATATCATAATTCTTTCAACTAAACTGAATTATACGACAACCAAGAACAATTGTTCTTAGTTTAACTGAGCAAGTGTCATAGTTGTTGTTTCATTTGCACAGACATGTTGCTCAAAGTAGTTAAATGGACATAATTAAGCCGATAAAACCAAAACACGAAATATAGGCCAGTTGAACTTACCTAAGAAAAAAAGAAGGATACATATATACTGCTTTAAAGCAGTATTCAGTATGAATTCATACTGAAGACAACAGGGAGTTGATCATAGAAACACAGTTCACAGTACAACAAACCTTTCTTCAGTAAAATTATTCACTGACAGTCTATCTGGAAAGAATCAACTATGTGAATAAACTCACTATGACTTGAGATATCATCTCAGCGTGCAATGGACGTACAGTGTAACGCAGTCAGACGTGGCGAATAAAAATTAAAAACAGAGAAAAATTAACTACATAATCTAGTTATTTAATTAAAAATACATTATGAAATGACAAAATCTGTGGTTAATTGAACGCACAAATGACAATGTGCGATACATTAAATTTACATGTTTGCGTTGCGGATAAGATCACCCTATTTATTAAATCAACAATAAATAAATTTGAATTACGTCAAACATTAAGAAATACATGGGCTAATAAAAAATGTTATATCCATTATGGTATTTATGCTTATATTTATTTTACATTAGGTAGAGAAAATCTCACTCATTGGTTTAATTCAACAATACAATCGAAATTATTGATAGAACATAAACAATATAATGATATAATCTAATTTAATTTTATTGAAAATTATTATAATTTAACTAGAAAATTAATTGGTACCATTGAATATGCTACATTACATTGTTTAAATACAAAATTTATTATAATTATTGATGAAGATTTTATTGTAAATCCTATTCATTTAATTAAATTATTATTAAATATTAATCATATAGACTATTTAACATATATTAGTGGTCATGTAATTAAGAATGGTATACCATTTCGTGAAATCAATAGTAAATGGTATATATCAAAATTCATTTATCCATTTGATTATTATCCAAATTATCCACTTGGTGGTACAATTATCATTAGTAGATCATTAATTAATCAATTAAATCAATTATTATATTCTATTGAATTATTTCCATTTAATGATGTATTAATTGGTATTGTATTAGATAAATTAAATATATCAATTATACATATAGAAAATATATTATTTTCAAAGAATATTATTGATTTTAGACAAAAATTTGTTACAGCACATTTTAAAGGAACTTCATATTTACTAATTAATTTATGGAAATCATTACGATTGGATAAGTTATGTTAAAATTAATTAATTCATTAATAATAAATCATAATTGAAAGTTTTCATTCTTTCTATTATTTGTTTTAACGAACATTCATTCATATATTTGTAATATATCAGAAGGGAGATTGTGTGTAGATTTCGAGATTATTAATCAAGATATACCCACTACTGACTGACTTCAAGATGTATATTCTGGAGTTCTAGTGAGAAGCAGTGACCAGTGGCGTTCAACCGGGTCTGTTGTGAGATACAACAATATCAATTGACTCATGTTTTCAACTATTGAAATTACTACAATCTCCACAAATCCCCTTTTGATATTTATTTATTTGTTAAAAAGATTATTTGTAACTCTTTTATATTTGTTTTACAGTTTGGTAAATTTTGCTAACACAATTACGTTTACTCCAATGTCTATGTAGGGTATATATGGTAAAGTATAAAATATTTAAATTCTCAAGTTCATTAATCGTTAGTTTTAAAATACACTGTACTGCTATTTCGTTTTATGTGAATCACTGTAGTAGTTAACACTCATCACTCCTTCACGGGTCAAACTTTGATGGATCTAGAGTCAGACACATTGCTTACAGACCATTGAGCTATAATCATATAGGGTAAAATTTCGACTTCATTTAATTCGCTGTACGGTCGTACAACTGTCTACATCCTTCTATTACGTTTAACATTTAGAAAGTCAGACTGACACAGCTAGATTCGCTTTCGGATTAGGACATGTATGTTCATTGGTGAGGATTTCTTTGGTTGTCTAGTGTTCTTTAATTTCTAGTGTTTCCTCAATTTATGTCATCCTTTGATAAGAACAAACTGAACATTAAACTAATCTCCATGGCCTACTCAACCAATTATAATAAGCTAGTGTATTCCATTATACAACATGTTTTTTATCTGATTACTTACTCAATTACCTTTATACTGTCTTCCTGATTGCTGATTGCAGTACGAATGATAGATGAAATTAATTTTTCCCAATCGTGAGTAATATCTATTCACATTTTAAGAAGGATAAACGGAGCTTCATTCTAGAATATTGTTAATATATGTTCAAACAGTAATTTTATGAATTATTATTCTAAATATAATCCAGTTCAATTTGTATAAATGTGACAGTATAAATGTAATTGTAAATAAATCATATAGAAAGTAATATGTTCATAAATCATTATGATTTATTTCAAAAGTCAAATAAATCCTTAGCATTAGTCTCTATTTCTTCCCTTTGCGATTCTTTCTCTTGTATTCATGTTGTTATGTAGATTTAGTCTGAGATTATCGTGGTCGGTTAGTGTTGAGGACGATAGATACCCAAAACTCATATTTCGTAATTTTATCATATCGATTAACTTATCGATTAAATGTTTAAATATTTGAATGGCAGTCAATTGATGAACTTATCGATTAAATATTTGAATGTCTGTCGATTAATGGACTTACTGATTAATGTTTAAAAACAATTTACTATGACAATCTCGATTGTAAATATTTGTATAAATACGCATGACTTGTGTGTCTGACCTGACTTGAGCTGACCTGACCTGACCTGAGCTGACCTCACCTGGTATCTGCTGGTTGCCTGTAGAATACACTTCTACGTCTTACCAAGACTTCTTGATCGAGTTAGCTGAGTTGAGAACAACGGACCAGAATAGCCTATCGAGTCTCTGAATCCTCATCCTTCGTTTCGTTCCGAATAAGCCGAATCGGTAGTAGCATTCAAGCTTTCACGAACCTAACAGTTAGGAAATCGGATTGAGCGTTCAAATAGCAGATTTATCAACTGTGTTTTGTAACTCAATAAGCTAAAACAATATTCCATAAACTCCCGAAAATATCAATCTCTATGATAATGTTATGATACACTGTCTACTAACTAGTTCGATAAATGACGTAACTAAATGATTCACCACCAAGTACGTTTACTAATTGGATTTAAAAGCAGAGTATCTGCATGATTTGTTGACAGTTATCAATTAAATTGTTATGGAAACTGATTTGCCTTTAATCGGAGATTCATAGTTTACTAAAATGAACTTATAAATGATTAAGAACAGAAACAAGTTTTTTTTAAATAACAATTTTCTTAAACATTTGGGTGTGTTCATATGTTGTCATTTAATACATCATGTTTTAAACTGTTTCGACATATGGATCGATAAATGCACTTTTACAATGAGGGTCAGTGGAAATTGTAGTAATGTAACAGTTGAATGTATGAGTTGATTAGGACTAAAGCACCCTGAAAGCACTGGACGGCCGATTTGTCCTAGTATGTTATTCCTCAACAGTCCGCATCACTATTTCTCACGTGAGATTCGAACCTAGGATCTTCGGGTTTGCGCGCGGACGCCCAGCCTCTGGACCGCTGATCCGGCATCCAACGGTGTTAATGTCCAACCTCAATCAATGCACAACACTGCGCGACCGTCCATAATTGTCTTCAGTGAGTAACTACCTCACAACAGATTTTAATAAACACACGAACAAAGTTGGTGTTATCATGAATAAATGTTAAAGATAGTTTGGTGATTTTTGTAGTGTATTTTAATGAGACCCTTCATTTCGACGTCAAATACATTGGACGATGTTATGGACGGGCTCACCACCTTTGTGGCCCTATATTTTGCTTCAGTTAGATCGTATGATTATCGTTATTGAAATATACAATATCGTCAATCCTCATAAATAATCATCGACTTCAATCGCGTTAGTGAACAACAGAATTAATTAAGCCGAATACGAGAATGGATTTCGAATATATATTTCATGCAATCATTATTCATTTGGACAGGCAATCATGGAGACAAAACTAAAAGGGAAGAGCGAAGCAGATTGGAGAAGGCAAGTGAGGCAACTCGATTTGATCAAGCGTTAATCAATACTTATAGTTACACAAAAATAAGCTACAAACTTATGATGAGTAGGATAAGATGTACTCACACATGCTCATATAAAAACAGTCAGGCTTGATAAGTGAATAATTGACAAGGTCGAAACGTGACTCAAGAAGAATGAATAAACTAACATGTCCGGAATGTAGAATAAGTTATATGGGCTTAACATAGTAACCGACACCGCAGTATGTCCTTTATACTTCCAATGTCTTTTCCGAATTTCCTCTTCAGATAGAAGCTTCACCACCAAGTTCGATTGGGTTGGTGTTCTCCATGTTATATTTGAGGATCCTGATTTTTCTTTTGTGTACGTTGAGGCCCCCTAATGCAGAGGCTAGTTGTCTTCATCTGCATTTGTTCGTGTGTATGGGAATTCGATAGAGACTTATTCCTTATGATGATGCCTCTTGCGTACCAGCATCTCTGATACGTTGAAGTTAATGTTTCTTTGATTTATTTCCGGTTGTTCTTCATAGTAGTTTCTTCTTCTTGCAGTAGATCCTGTAAGGCTTGGAACCTGTTGTTGACAGTTATCTTGAATTCATAGAGTTTGTCAGTATCTCGTGGGAAGTCTGCATTAAAGTTTCGTAATGATGTTTCTCCAGTTGTCCAGTGCTTCTTTAGAGTCAGTTCCATCTTGGAAACCACTAGTTCGTGGTGATCTGAAGCTATGTCAGCTCGTTTCATTGTTCTCACGTCTTCCACTGATCTCCTGAATTTCTTGGGGATGCAAATACTATCGATCCAGTCCTCTGTAATGTGACCCGCGAGATCTATGTAGCTTTGTGTGTGCAATTGTGTGGGAATATAGTGCTGCCTACAACCTTACTGTCACCATGTCAAACAGAAGTCTATTACCAGTATCTTTATCATCCTGTAAAAATAAGTATATATATTTGCGATTGTACAGCTTTGAAAATGAATTCGACGAAAAGAGGAGAACTCTTCGCTGAACTAATCTTTCTTATTATTATTCATACGCCAAGTATTTATGTTAATCAAAAGACTTATGACTATCACAGCGTATATTCTGAATATAATCATGAACGTCAAAATGATACCACCTTTGATCATATCCTTCTCTGAAGTCCTATGTAGCATAATTTTAACAAACCTGTCATTAAAATTCATTCCAAACAATTTGATAAATCGCATCATTTCAAATAATCTATCCTTAATATTCTTAAGCCCTTCTCTCTACCTTGTATCAATCCAATAATCCGATAACTTAGAGTGAATTCTGTAGTTATACACATAATATGGTTAACTATTATTAACTGAGTGCATTAAAGTGCATAAAAGTGCATATAACAAATATGGTATCCATTCAAAAAGTCACTAGCGAAAATGCGTGGTTTAAAGCGAACATTTTAATAAAAGTGAGCATTGAAATGAGAATAGAATTTTTAAGGATGTGAAATACGTTCAATCTGCCCTCTGTCTCTTTGCCTCTACAATCAATTAAAAACATAATTATGTAAACGTCTAATGGAATGTCCACTTGATTCCTGGTAAAATATATTGTGATTCACTTGGAACGATCTAGTATTAAAACCGGAATATCATTTATTGTGTAACGATCGAATACAGTTTTAACACATTACATGGAGCAACATGCTTGCTATTGCCAGAGAAAATCATACTTTCGTGCTTATTATTATCGCTCAAAGTTGTCAACAAGTGACAGTATACTTCCCTGAAATAAATCAGTTCGTTCCAGATACAAGATCGATAGTAATACTGAATCAAAAATTGAACATTTTAATATCGAGTGAGTCGGCTTACTGGGTGTATGATAAATTTGAAAAATAGTATTTAAATAGACCAAAAAGCAAATATTATTAATATCTTGATTTCACAATAACTGATTAATGTAATGTAAATTTTTATTAATGGTTATCATTTAAAATTGCCAACAAATGTCATTACTCTTCTCTGAAGGTAACTATTTCGTTCTAAACAAAGGACTTACTGTAATATCGGATTTAATATAATGCCTATAAACTGTCGTTATTAAGTAAATGACATAATCGAACAATATGATTTGAATAGATCAACGCATTATTGATATTGTTATCTTGATTTTTGCAAAACCTGGTTAATTTA